CAGCAACCAAAAGCATTTGCCTTGTGAGCATGGGGTAATGAGTTCCATTCCTGATACTGCCCATATTTGCTGAATTTGGTCCTTGTAGTTGTACTGCCTGGAATTCTTTGGTTTTTTTTTTTTTGGTTGTTTGTTTGTTTTGCTTTTTGGGTCACATCCGGCAATGTGCAGGGAATACTCCTGCACTCAGAAATTACTCCTGGCAGTGGTCGGGGGACCATATGGGATGCTGGGAATCAAACTCGGTTGGCCGCGTGCAAGGCAAATGCCCTACCCACTGTGCTATCGCTCCAGCCCCTACTGTCTGGAATTCTTTTTTTTTTTTTTTTTTTTAGTGAGACATCATGAGGCACAGTTGCAGACTTACAAATTTTTGTGCTTGGGTTTCAATTATACAATGATCAAATACCCATGTCTGGAATTCTTGACATCACAACAGAACATTCGATTTCTGGTATGGAAGAGCATTGCAACAAAAGCATATGAGCACTGAGGACAGGAGCAAGGCCCCCCCCCCCCCCACATGGCCAGCTCATGTGGGGATAACCATCCACCACTGCAAGCACTCTAATCATAGTGTGTGTGGAGAGCATAACTAAAGGATTGTGACCCCAGGCATGTGGTTCAACCACTGGTCATTACAACAACAAAGGGTAGGGATGGAGGCTAGGGGCGGGGGATGTGGGGCTATGGATTCAAAGATGTGAGCAGATTAATACTCATTTCAGAATTATTTAGTGGCTTCCAATTTCTCTTAAGTAAAAACTTAACCAGAACACCAGTTACTAACATTATTAAAAAAATTAGTAAGAGAAAAAAAATAACAAGAATATTTTCATGGAAGATATGGAAAAGGCATACAATAAAATCCAGCATTTTGTATTTGGTACATAAAATTGTAGCAAAAGTATAGCACTGCATTGCACTGTCCTCCATTGTTCATCAATTTCTTGAGTGGGCACCAGTAACGTCTCCATTTGAGACTTGTTGTTACTGTTTTTGGTATATCGAATATGCCATGGGGAGTTTGCCAGGCTCTGCCGTGTGGGCGGGATACTCTTAGTAGCTTGCCAGGCTCTCCGAGAGGGATGGAGTTGAACTCTGGTCAGCCGCGTGCAAGGCAAACACCCTATCCTCTGTGCTATCGCTCCAGCCCAAAAAATAAGAATAATAAAATTTTAATGATAAGATATATATATCTCACTTGCAAAGTCAACCTCCTGCTGACTGAGTAAACATCAGAGCATTTTCTTAAACTCAGAAGTAAGAAAGGACATACTATACTTCTATTTAGATTATATGACTGTAATCTTGAAAATCTGTGTGGAATCTTACTAATGTACTTCACATTAAAAACAAATTTCCTGATGGGTCAAAATTTTTAAGTTTTTTTTTTAAAATAAAATTACAGAACATTAAGAGAAAATCATGGAAGAATATTCAAGGTAATTCAAGAAAGAGGAAGGCTTTTCTCAGGACAGTAAGTAGCTGTCCTCCTGTTGTTCATCAATTTGCTTGAGCAGGCATCAGTAACGTCTCCATCATGAGACTTATTGTTACTGTGTTTGGCATATTGGATATGCAAAGCCGTGCGGGTGAGATACTCCGGTAGCTTGCTGGGCTCTCGGAGAGGGGCGGAGGAATTGAACCCGGCTCCGCTGGGCTGGCTTCGCGCAAGGCAAACGCCCTACTGCTGTGCTATGTCTCCAGCCCAGAAAAAGAAAATCTTGAGAAAATGGGCCTAGATGTGGAAAAGGACTGTATGACCAAAAAGAGCAAGTTAACAAATCAACAAAACTGCATAAAAAGAATTAACAGAGGTAACAAACCAAGGAGCGATGGCACAGCTAGTAGGGCTTTTGCCTTGCACACTGCCAACCAGGATTTGATTCCTCCGGTCGTTTTGGAGAGCCTGGCAAGCTACTGACAGTATCTTGCCCTCAAGGCAAAGCCTGACAAGCTTCCAGTGAGGTATTCTATATGCCAAAAATAGTAACAATAAGTCTCACAATTTGTTGTGAGATGTTACTTGTGCCTGCTCGAGCAACAAACCAAGGAATCTTTTTTCCATTAATATCTAAGAAAGGACTTATTTTTTTTGCTTTTTCACATATAAGGCATTCTACATCTGGCAGAAAACTGGACCTAATATGTAACTAGATCATTCTTGGGAAATGAGCTACAATGTCTCTTTATGACTTGTCATGAGAAATACAAATCAAATTCTTCTATGGCTCAGTTTAAAAAGTGCAATTCTAGATAAAATGGAGTAAGTTCACTATCGTCTGTGATTGCCATTCATCATTAATAAAACTTTTGACCAAAATACTAAACACAACTTCCCAAGGATTAAGAAAAGGAGGTTGAAATCTGAAAACCGTAAGTGGATGTTGAAATTCCTATTTTTTTTTTAATTTCTCATTTACCTCCTGGCTTTGATCAGAAGGCAAGCTAAATTGGAAACTGCTTACCTGACACTATTAGCAAGAAGTGCGTGAAAAGTCAATCCTCTAATTCACGGGTCAAAACATTAGACTGCTACAAGTTGGAGAAATTGGTGGAGGGGAAAGAGAAATAGTACAGTGGGTAAGGCCCTTACCTTGCATAAGGCTTACCTGGATTCAATCCCTGGCATCCCATATGGTCCCCCTGGGGCCCTGCCAGAACTGATCCCTGAGAGCAGAGCCATAACTAAGGCCTAGGTGTGGCTAGGTATGGTCCAAAATCCAAAATTAATTAATTGATTAAGGCTTAAAAAATGGTGGGAACTTTTGTCTTTTGTATCCCTGCTCTTTTCTGAACCCTGTTCCCTCACACGATTGCCTTGTGCTGCACACCAGAATGGGACCTTGAGAGAAAGACTGCCCTGCTTGATGGAAGTACGGAAAGGGGCCTGGTTCATGCAAAGAGTATTGAACAAATTCCTGTCTGTTTGCTTTCCTTTCTCTTGCTTTTTCTTCACCACTACTGTAAGAGTAAGAACTGCATGATGTATCTATGAGGGGAACTCCTAGAGAATAATTTTAGGCATGCTGATGTGGACACAAGTGGGCTTGGGAGGCAGAGGATATGGTAGAACATTCCCCAAAGGAGAGAAATAAAAAAGAAAATCACTAATCCTATGTAGTGTTTGTTATGCAATAGCAATAGGTAAAACATACACACACACAATACACACACAGAAACACATATTAGAGACATGAATATAGGTGTACGCTGTCAATTCTTTATTATCTGTTCTTGGACATTTGTCACACACAAATATATGTATATGTCATAGTTTCTGAGTCATCTGTTCTTGGATACTTGGGTTGTTAGATTTTATTATTTTCAATTTTTCTGGTCAAATAAGTATCAAACTATGAAGTTATATGGTATCATAAGTTAAAGGTATGAGAAGAAATGAAATATGCAATTCAACAAAATCCTATCCTTTGCATGCAGGAGTCCCAGCTTCAATGCTTGGGAAAGTATAGTTTGCACAAATAGGCATGTACTTCCAGGTCTATGTGACACACCCCTCCAAACTCATAATGAGCCTAATGAGTCATTAATGTCTACAACTACTGAAACTCATTAAAAAAGTTTCCTAATTTTCAGAAGAATGAGAACTTCTGTACTTATCCTTGCAGGATTTACTAAACATGCTAGGATAACTGATCAATTTATGAAATTTTCAATTGATCAGTTTGTAAATTTCTATGCTGGAGCATTGGAACCCACAAAGAACAACAATAATTAGGATTCAATTTCTTTCTCTTAGCTTCCTTCTCCCCTGTTCTAATTCCCAAGATAATTCAGGGAGTAGAAGAACAAAGTGGACATTTCTGGCATTGCAGGATTTAAAAGATCCCTATTTTGAGCTGAATGTATGGGGGTAAGAGGCTCTTCATTGTTTTCTCTTACTGCACTGTTATTACTATGTATATATATTTTATGTGGTGTGTGTGTATGTGTGTGTGTGTGTGTGTGTGTGTGTGTGTGTTTTGGGCCACACCTGCCTGTACTCAGGGTTTGCTTCTGGCTCTATACTCAGGGATCACTCCTGGTGGGCTCACAGAACCATATGGGGTGCCCGGTATCAAACCAGGGTGGGCTACGTGTAAGGCAAGTGCCCTACCGACTACTATCTCTCCCACCTCGATATATCTATTTTTTAAAGATCGTTTTAATAGTAAGTTGATTTTGAGTCTTTCATTATCTCAAAGTGAATTACAGCCAGAACTGTAATTGAGAGTGACAAGAAAATTGTATTCTGGACCTTAAGAAATGCAAAAGAGGGAATTGTGGAGGAATATTCTTCTCCCTCTTTTCTCTGTTGGGTCCACCGCCTCCCACTTATACAGCCCAGCACATGAAATGATCATGTTGGACAACAACTGAGTGCTAAAAGTAGGGAAAGGGATATTCCTGATAGTATCTGTATTGCAAGCCTTAATGCCTAAAAGGGGGGGGGTGGGGGAGAGAGAGGGGGAGAGAGAGAGAGAGAGAGAGAGAGAGAGAGATGAAGAGAGAGAGATTTTGATAGGAGGGAACCTGGGGATACTGGCGCTGAGAAATGTACAATGATGGAGGGATGGGTATTGGAATATTGTATGACTGAAACCCAATCATGAACAGCTTCTTAAGGGTCTATCTCACAGTGATTCAATAAAAAAAAAAAAAAAAAAAGAACAGCCCAGCAAAGTTCAGCCTCTTCCGCCGTGGTCCCTCCCCTCTACCCGGAGTGACAGTTTGAGAGGCCCCGCCTCTCCCATTGTAGTTCCGCCCCCTACCCGAGTGACAGTTCCGAGAGGCCCCGCCTCTCCCGCCGTGGTCCCGCCCCCTACCCGGAGCGACAGTTCCGAGAGGCCCCGCCTCTCGCGCTGTGGTCCCGCCTCCCAGTCGGAGTGACAGGCTTCAGGCCCGCCCGTCCCTGGCCAGCTCCACGCTCACTCTCCCTTCCTCGCGGGGCCCCGCCCTTTGCCCTCCAGCCCGGGCCCCTCCTCCTCCTCCTCCTCCTCGGAGACCCCGCCCCCAGCCCGGCCACACCCGCCACGCCCCGCGCACCCGGGCGCCCGCCCCGCAGGCCCCCGGCCCGGCCTCCCGCTGTTGCCGGCTCCGGGGCCCGCCCCCGAGGACGTGGAGCGCCGTAGCCGCCGGTGAGTGGGGGCGGGGAGGAGGGTCCCCGGGATCTCCGGCACCCCGAGTCCCGCTGCGTGCGGCGACACCTCCCGGTCTCCGCCCTTTCTCCCTGGAGATCTGCGAGTGCGGACCTCTCGGGAATGGGGAAGTGGCACCGGCATGGGCACCGGTTACGGGGCCGGGTGGGTCCGGGAAAGGCCGAATGAAGGTGTTGGGGGTCGGAGTCGTGGGCGCAGGTGGGGCCAGGGGAGAGCCGAGATTTAGGCAGCGGTGCTAGGGTGGATGGTTGGGGGCTGGAAGCCGAGCTGGACCAGTGGGGTCAGGATTGGGGGACTGTCGGGAGCGGGGTCTGGGAGGGAGGATGGAAAAGCAGGTAGAGCCGAGGCTAGGGCGGTTTGGGCGCCGGTCCTCTGGGCGTGGCCCGCGGCCCGCGGAGCAGGGAAAGTATCAAGGAAAACGGGGTCTTTCAAAGCCATTCTCTCTTATCAGAGTGATCGTTTCCAGACTACGGCCGGGAAGCCTCTTTTCGTTTAAATTATAGATGCTGGTCAGGTGCATGCTTGGGACACCTGAGAAATGTGGGGGAATGAGGTTCTGCTATAGGTGGCCTCTCATTTTTCCTGGTGCCTGCCCAGCACCGGCCTCGGTGTGCGCTGTCTTCTCTAACAACCTGCCCCAGGAGCCGAGACAGCACCGTGATCTTCAAAAAAGTACGGCTAACTTTTATTTACACTCAAAACACAATTCTATCCCATTGTCCTGCATTCTGAGGTTTTTCAGTTAAAAAAAAATCTGCTTCAGGAGCCATCGGGAAGGAGGGGGAAGACACACACACATAGGCACACAGTTACTTTCCCCTTTAAAGTCGCACAAACCTACAACCACACCATGAAAACGGTCTAGATGTTTTTGCAGTGTTTAATCAACAGATTTCCATTAAATATTTACCATGTCTATTCTGAGAAGCTATGAGGCATGAAATACAAAAGATCTAAAATAAGGGGAAAAGTTGGAGAAAGCCCACAGAATTGATGCTTAAAAACTCTCTTTACAATAGCCAGAAACTGGAAGAAACCTGAATGCCCAAGAACAGATGACTGGTTAAAGAAACTTTGGTACATCTACACAATGGAGTACTATGTAGCTGTTAGAAAAGATGAAGTCATGAAATTTACATACAAGTGGTACAACATGGAAAGTATCATGCTAAGCGAAATGAGTCAGAAAGAGAGGGATAGACATAGAAAGATTGCATTCATCTGGGGGATATAAAGTAACAAAATATGAGATTAATACCCAAGAATAGCTGAGATCAGCACCAGGAGGATTACTCCATAACTTAGAGGCCAGCCGGGTATCCTAGAGGAAAGGGCAGTTCAGATAGAGAAGGGAGCACCAAATAAAGGGTGTTTGGAGGATCCTTCCAGGAGGGGAGATGCATGTCGAAAGTAGACTATGGGCTGAACATGCTTGCCACTCATGCTTGCCACTCAACACCCAAAAGGAGAGAGAGAACAAAGGGGATTGCCCTGCCACAGAGGCAGGGGGGGATGGGGAGATGGGGGTGGGGGGATATTATCCATGGTGGTGGAAAATGGGCACTGGTGGAGGGATGGGTATCTGATCATTGTATAATCGAAATCCAAGCACAAAAAATTGTAAATCTACAACTGTACCTCATGGTGTTTCACTAATGCTCGAGCGGGCCCAGTAACGTCTCCATTGGAGACTTTGTTGTTACTGTGTCTGGCATATCGAATACTCTCAGTAGCTTGCCGGGCTCCCCGAGAGGGGCGGAGGAATCGAACTCGGGTCGGCCATGTTGGCCGCGTGTAATAAAAAAAAAAAATTTAAAAATTAAAAAAAAAAGTAAAAAAAAAAAAACTCCAGTGAAACTTTTTGGTGCTGGGGATCAAGCAAGGCCTGGCAATTGGGACCATTTTCAGCATCTGGTCAGTCTGTGCCCTGTCCACCAGAGCTCTACTCAGTGGAACTTTGAGGACTAGATGGCACCCCGAATCTTGCATATCCTAGGAATGTGCCTTACAATTTGCACTTTCTCCCTGGCCCAATAGGGAATTTTGTTTTCAACAGATAATCATTAGCTTATTTTGAAGTAATTTTAGATTTATTTTTTAAAAGTTGAAAAATAGGTGCTGGAGCGATAGTACAGTGGATAGGGTGTTTACCTTGCAAGCGACTGACCTGGGTTCGATTCCCAGCATCCCATGTGGTCCCCCAAGCACTGCCAGGAGAAATTCCTGAGTGCGTGAGCCAGGAGTAACACCTTTGCATCACAGGGAGTGACCCAAAAAAGAAAAGTTGAAAAATAGTACAGAGTTCTCATATGCCCTTCGTTGAGTTTCCTTAAGTGTTTACATTTGTTGTTGTTATGGCTTTTCCATATTGTTTCCACAACCCAAAACATATTTTTATTATCTTTTTCTAAAAAACAAACAAACCAGAGGAAGGTAGGTGTCAGGACTTGGATCCAAGACCTCATACATGCCCAAATCGCACTCTACCACCAAATATATTTGAATATATATGTATAACCTTGTCATTGTTATTGAAACCATGGAAATTTTCAGTTTCTATTAAGTAATTCTATGCAATTCTATTAAGTAACCTATGGCCCTTATTCAAATTTCATCAGTTATGCTGGTCATGTCCAGAGTTCAATCCACATCCTGTATTGCATTTAGGTATTACCTGACTTCCTTTGATTTGGATGTCCTCCTATCTAGGGTGACCTAGTGTGGGCCTGAGAAATAAAATAGGTCTTTTAGGCAACACACATCTTCCTCAAATTTGTATTCAATCACCATATCTTCGGAGGACACATTTATCTCCTTTTCTGGCCCTGATTAGTACAGTTTAACGAAATTGGAAGATTCTATCTTATTTCTTTTATAGATCATTTCTACGTTTTTTTTCTTTTTGGGTCACATCTGGTGATGCACAGGGGTTACTCCTGGATCATGCACTCAGGAATCACTCCTGGTGATGCTCAGGGCATCATATGGGATGCTGGAAATCGAACCCGGGTCTGCCGAATGCGAAGCAAGTGCCCTACCTGCTGTGCTATCGCTCCAGCCCCTAAAGATCATTTCTAAAGCAGGGAGTTACAGACCAGGAGCGATTCCAAAAGTCTTTGCTTAGTACTCCTTACTTTGTGTCCTAGGCATTGGCAATGGGAATTCTTCAAAATTAAGAGCTAAATGCTGATTTCTGTTTGAATATATTGGAGGAAAGAGCAATGATCTTGTTTAGTGTGACCAACTTGTTTTAATTTAGGTTTTTGTTTTGTTTTTTTTTAACTGTGCTCCGGCTGTATACCTTTGCACTCAGGAATCATCCTTGGTGGGGATTCAGGGAACCTTTCCCACTGTACTATCTCTCTGTCCCTTGTCTCCATTTTATTTATTTGTTATTTATCTACTTATCTACAAAATTGTTCATGATTGGGTTTCAGTGTTCCAATACCCATCCCTCCACCAGTGTAATTTCCCAGCTTCCCTCCCATCCCTCTAAGGCACCCCCACCCCCCACAAGCCTCTATACCAGGCACCTCTCTTCTCTCTCATTCTCTTTCTCTCTCATTTTGGACATTATAGTTTACGATACAGATGTCTTCTTCTTCTTCTTTTTTTTTTTTTTTTTTGCTTTTTGGGTCACACCCGGCGATGCACAGGAGTACAGGAGTTACTCCTGGCTCTTCACTCAGGAATTACTCCTGGTGTTGCTTGGGGGACCATATGGGATGCTGGGAATCGAACCTGGGTTGGCTGCGTGTAAGGGAAACGCCCTACCTGCTGTGTTATCGCTCCAGCCCCAAGATGTCTTCATTTTAAAATGGGGCCAGAGAGATAGTACAAGGGTTAAGGAGCTTGCCTAGCAGGCACTCCACCCAGGTTTAATATTGGCACTGCCTATGGTTTTCTGAGCACTGCCAAGAGGTCACTCCTAAGCACAGAGCCAGAAATAACTCCAGCTTTGCCCACGCTCTAAATAAAATAAAATGGAAAAGTTGTATCTTGGGCACCCCTTATGACCCGGGCAAACCTTTGCCTCCCTAGAATTTCTACTAAGAAATCACAGCACGATTTCTCGCATCATGTCAGCGAGAACAAGACAAATCTTGGCAGTATCTGGTGTAAGGAGTGCTGATAGATGTGAGTGAGAGGAGGAATTCTTCTCCCTGTGCCTGACTGGTCTGTTCAGGGTAGACTTATAGACTTAGCCGGACAGTTCTGGTGAGAGGTGGCCTTCGCTGAGAGTGGCCTCTGCTCAGATTAGGCCCCACCTCCCTGGGCCCAGCTGTTTTTCTGTGGCACCACTTCTCCTGCATCTTAGTGGGATCGGTTGCTCAGGGATTGTGCTTCGCCAGCCTCCTCACCTGTGCCTCTGAGCAACTCCAGTGGGTGTGTGCCAGGTGCTGATCTTCCGCTCTCCCATCTGTGCCCCACAGTTTATGTACCTCAGGGTGGCAGTGAATGATGGTGTAAGGTTGCTGTTGTAACTGACCATTGGAGGTTTCAGAGCAAACACCATCACGATGTCATGACCATCCTGTTGTTCGTCGATTGCCTCGAGCAGGCCCCAGTAACGTCTCCTTCATCCTAACCCTGAGACTTTTTAAAAAGTGCCATATTCAAGGCTCTTTCAGGGTTAGGAGAATGAGACCCATCATTGTTACTGGTATTTGGCATATTGGATACACCATGGGGAGTTTGCCAGACTCTGCCATGTGAGAAGGTTACATTCGGTAGCCTGCCAGTTTGTCCAAAGTAAGAATGAGATAATAAGATGTCCGGGAGCTGGGTTTTCATAGTCTCTGGGTCTTGGCCGTTGATGGGATTACACGGCGCCAGGGGGCCAGTTGGTGGGTGTGACCCCTGCCTACTGGAATATGGAGGATCTGGGTGGAGGATGCTCAGCCCTGATCCGAGCAGGCTTGGAGATCTCAGCCCCGGGACCTGCATGCCTTTATTCCTCTGCCGGTACCTTCATGCGT